ACCCCTCTTTGTATAAAATAACTGTTTTTTTAAATGTAATCCTATTGAGACAGTTATTTTGACTGTCATATAAGAGTTATGGAGTGAACATATACATTAAAGTTCAAGAATTATAAGAATGAAGTATTATCTGACATTTATGGAGAAAATATTGATATTAGGATTTTTTTCCTTTTATTTCTTTTAATTTGTAAAGATGCCCAGAGTTGTTTTATAGTTGGGTGGCCTAGAAATTCAATACCCAAATGAATAAATTAAGATATTTATCTGAAGGGATTACAAATGTTATTCTGAATTATTGGGCTGGTTTTACAAAAACTGTGGAAGCGGAGATCACAGGATGTTAATCTAGGCAACCAATCAGTTACAAAAGAACAAAAGAGCAGTAGTTTAAAAGGTATTGTGTAATGGGCTTTAATAGGCAAAGAGCAGACCAGCATAGTTACAACATCATTTACTGACTCAAACTAGAACTGGAGAACTGCAGGCAATTGCCTGTAATTTATACTCTTAGCCCACAGGGCCTTAACCAGTCACAATACTTGAAAAAGCCTGCCCAGATATGAATGTTCAAAGTTTCTCTCCAAAACAGTTGGAGTTAACAGTCAGGGTCATCTAAAGGTTAGTTTCATTTTAGCTTCACAAGCAGTTGGGAGTTAAGTTAGTTTCACTTTAGCAGGGATTAACACAACTTTATATATATATATTCAATATATAACAAAAGATACTACAGACTCTTTACTGCACTCTCCTGATAGAACTGGCTTTCAAGAAAAGGCAAAGCTATAGGATCTTTGATTGTACTGCTTTTCATTACTTCTGCTCCTTAGTCTGGAAGAAAAGTCAGAGGAGACAATAACTGGAGTACAGGCTGAAGAAATCCACATTTTCATCAGCTGATTCCTTGAAGGTTGCATGAAAAGCCCAATTTATTGCTCCCTTTTGACAAGACAAAAGTGAATTCATACATGAATGAACAGAGTGGGCAAAAACAGAGATTGCCCACTGGAACAAGAACAAATTTAGTAGTTGTTATGCTCCTGTTGATGCCATCAAAAGTCTCCACTACATCTATTAACACTCTATCTCATATGTAATACAGCTCTTCCCTCTTCCCTGGATCAATCAGGATGTATAAACAAGAGAGGGATACAAAAATGTGACAAAGTGTTGTGAGGAGGTACCGTCTCAATTCCATACACCCCCCTCAGGCAGCCCAACCCTTATAAGACATATCTGGGGAGACTGGGAACACCTAACAAGTAGAATAGGTACGAGCTGCTCCTAGCACTTCTGATAGGGTATAGAATGCTCTTTGTTGAGAACTCTGCATCAGTTTTAGTACAATACAAAAAAGGCAATAGGTAAATATGAAAGTATATGAAGAATAAAATGATTCAAGAAACCAAGTTCAGTGTCTCTGTGTAACTGCATATATGAATTAAAAAAAACCCTTAAGATTCCTAAAAATAATTGGACTCACCAATTAACCCCAGTTGGCCACTTTCACCAATCGCACCCGGAACTCCTGGAACACCTTTTTCTCCCTATCACATTGAAAATGGACACAATCTTATCAATTAGAATTAATATTAACCAGAAAGTTGCTTTTATCAGAATTCTATCACGAGTCTTGATAAGTAGAAATTATACAATGTGTAGTGTGTTAACGCTTTTTAAATTTATCAAATTTGTGTGCCTCCTGATTCTCAATTACTCTGGGCAACTCATAACAACTAAAACAGGAAAGTACAAATTAAATTTTATTACAATAAAATAAAATATGGTGTGAATTACTGATAGGATAAAAACAAAACCCAAGGGCTTCAGTATCCCTCACCAAAAGCCTGTGGAAAAATCCAGGTCTCCAGGTTCCTATAGATAATAATGTATAATTGAAGGGACCTGGAGCAGGCCCATCCTACCAGAAGAAATTGCCGGTCTCTCTAGTAACCGGGCCCTGTGCTTTAGATCCACCTTTGAAATAAAAGTAAAAGTAAAATCCGGTATGATAATTTAATGTGTTTGGGGATAGATTTACAGAATTTGGGTTGGGGATTTTGGTGCTCTGCTTTATGAGCTGCCATAAAGTAAGAGATAAAACACAGAGGTAGTTTGATTCATGTATGCAGACAACCATCAACACACCCAGTTTTGCTCACCCTCCATCCAGTGATTCCAGGGAAGCCAGGAATACCACGAGGACCTGGGATACCAGCATATCCTGGAGCACCTCTTATTCCTTTATTTCCAGTGTCACCTTTCTGACCTTTTTCGAAACCAGGAAATCCAGGTAAACCTGATATTCCTGTCTGACCAGGTAATCCGAGGAACCCTTTACTTCCTACAAAAATATAATTGTAAATGTTAATTTCTTTTCTTCTCTGCAGAGAAGATTGTCCAAAACTTTATGTCTCAGGTATGCTTGGCATCAGTAGTTGCTCTATCCGAAAGGTGTTGCTTCTAAATTGGCACATTCAATAGCGGCTTAAGACCACTGTGTCCAACATTATTGTACCTATCCTGTGAGGGCAACCCAAAGGGCTTACTTAAGATCCATCCTTGGTGAAACACAAGATAATCAGAAAGCAGACCTTCTCAATGATTGACCCAATGTGGAATATGCTACTACCGGAGAGGCATCTGACCCTGTCACTTCTGGCATTCAGACAGGCATTGAAATCTTTCTTTTTAGACATCTGATGCCTAGTATTGACTTTATGGTAAACATTTCAAATAGATTTTTTTGTTTTTTAATTACATTTTGCTATTGTTGTAACACAATATGGTTATTATATCCATGGATGTCTCTTTTGTGCTGCTATAAATTGCATACCAGAACCTTTGATTAAAAAGTAATTAATTAATTAATTAATATTAATTAGAATGCACTTTTTTTCCTTGAATGGGATCAATTGGTTCCTGGCTGTGGATGCTATCCAGGTTTACTAAAGCACAAACTCATCTGGAGTTATCTTTTGAAATCAGCCCAGAATAATGAGGAAATTGTGAACCGTAGGTGGACATTTTCCTTGAGTACTGGATCTCTGAAGAGCAATGCTACTCTTGTGTACTTCCTTAAGCCCTCTCATAAAATTCCTCCAAGATAAACTATGATGGTCGCAACCTTATGTCAGGAATCTAACAAGGCTGTGAAGAAGATACAGAGTATAATGAACCCCAAACTACCCCAGTTCAGGAGAAGCCATTTTTTTCTGCCTTCTCAGCTTGAATATATAGAGTTCAGACTAATAGGATGGTTCTCCAGTTTCCCAGCTATGCAGACATCTGAGGTTTCAGAAAGGCCGAAAGACTGTTAACATCAGCAGCATTACTCTGTGTGTCTTCTACTCCGAGTAATCTGCAGTTGGCATTTTTGTGATCTTTGACCAGACCAGAACCCTGATAATGTGGGACCCTCAGTTTTTATTAGTCTGAGACCATTACAGCTGTATCATCCACAGTTCACTAGGAATCTATTCCTTTTGTTATTTATGTATTTAAAGACATCCATAAGTCAGGGAAGAGGAAAATTGAATAAAAGTAAGAGGCAATGAGTTGTTTCAGTTAGGCCAGACTGGTGGAGTGGGGGTGGGGAATGCTTTTTTTTTTCATACAAGGAGGAATTTACAATCTGATGGGAAGGAAGCTTGCATTCCCTCACTGTACCAAAATCAGAACTTGGTGTATGCTGAAGGGTACAACAAAACTTTTAATATATTGTATTTATGATACATAGTGGTTCTTTACCTTTTAAACCGATAGTCCCTTTAACACCAAACAATCCTTTATCTCCCTTTTCACCTTTCACTTCCAGCATTATGCTTGGTATGATTTTAGGAGGTGCTCCTGGTAGACCACGAATTCCACGTTCACCTTTCAAGATAAGAATCCTAATCAAGGATGTATTGGAAGCATACAAGTTGCCCTACATTAAATTGAATTTGTGCCTTGCTTTATTTCCCTTTTTTAGCAATTTCACTGCCAAAGGTTTTTCTCAGATTTATCTGGAAATGTCAGACATTAAAACCTGTCATTTTTCTCATGCAAAATATATGGTTTGTCACTAACCTATACTTTTTCCTCTAAATTTAGACTTCTAGCTATCTAGAGATAAAAATGCATGCTATGATAATATTCTTATCATATAAAGCAACACGTTTAAGAGGAAATAGTAGAAATGAAAAAACGCTTTGTCCCTCTTCTTGCAGACTTTTAATAGTTGTGTTTAAACACTCTTTCAAATTGTCCTGTTAATTTCCTTTGTTTGAAAATAAATTCTATTTGATTTGAACAGTAAGTAGAAGACCCCTGTATTTTCTTCCAGGAAAAGTAGGTGTTAAAAAAGGAAAATAATATAGAAAATATGATTACAGAGATTACATTCTGCATCTCCAGTTGAATTAGTGATAGGAAAATGGCAAAGTGGCAATATATAGTCCAAAGGGCTCTGGTAATTCCTTCAGATATTTCTATTTAATTCACTGCAGAAGATAAGCATTGGCTAATTACTGTTCGAATCTATACTTCCTTGCCAGCAGCTGTCAGACTAGACAGGGAACGGGTCTAACAACAGATTTCTTTGAAAAAGCAATAACAGAGTTAAAAAGAATGCTGGCACATTGAAACTCAAAAAACATCAATGAAAATACTCTGAACTAAGAAAGAACACTGACCTCAACCAACCTACCCTGGAGAATTTTCTACCCATCAATGCCTCTGTCGGTGAGTCAAATTGTTATTTTTTGTCATCCAGCACCTTGTTAGACTACGAAAGCAAGGAATTTACATTCTTTGAATAAAGAGGGCAATTTGAGACCAGGGAGGGAAAAGTATATTATATCTCCTTCATGGAAATTGATGTGGAACTGCTATCTAAGAACTACCGTGTTTCCCCGAAAGTAAACCTGCCCCAAAAGTAAGCCCCAGCTGATTTTCAGGGTGTGGGCCTAATATAAGCTCTCCCCCCAAAAGTAAGCCCTACTTAAGGGCCTGCACCGACGGCCTGCTTGTGATGAGGCAAAGCTGATGGGGGATAGGGATCTAACCCACGGTACCGGTATACCAGTTCCTTAGCACCGCCCGGCTTTTTCCGTGGCCTCATGGCAGCAGCATTGGGCAGGAGGTGGCAAATGGCCATTTTCGGTGCGACGTGGCCATTTGCCGCCAGCTGCGGCCGTTTGCCGCCTTGCGCGTCGCACCCAATGCCGCTGCCATGAGGCCTAGCGGATCCTCTCCCCTTCTGAGCCACATGCCATTATACCAGTTCCCTACCACTGCCCGGCTTTTTCCGTAGCCTCATGGCAGCAGCATTGGGCAGGAGGCAGCAAATGGCCAGTTTCGGTGCAACGTGGCTGTTTGCCACCTCGCACATCGTGCTCAATGCTGCTGCAATACGGCTTGGCTGAAAGCGGCCATGGAACAAGTGGGGCATGTTCCCCCCTCACCTGCCCATTCTCTTCTCTGTCCCAGCCCCGTGCCATTTCTCCTTTGCAATCCCTGGACGCTGCGTGCAGGGAAACAAGGGAAGGTTTTTTGGAGGAAAAAGGTCAATCAATCAATTCCAACTTCGTGAACTTTTTTTTTGTGAGAAGTTGGAACTGACGTGGCGGTGGCGGATCGCGAAGGAGAAATGACACGGGGCTGGGAGTCAGGTAAGGAAAGAAAGGCAATTCCTGGGGGGAGCGAGGATTTCTTTCCTTACCTGCCCCGCTTGTTCTGAGGCCGCTTTCCCTGAGCCGCGTTGCTCTTGCCAATGGCCCGACCGCCCACTTCAGCATCCCGCCACCGTGCAGGGTAAGGTTGCCACGCCCATCCCCATCCAGATGCCCTCGCCTCCCAAAAGCATTTTTTTACTAACCTGCGTTTCAGCTGCATTCTGTTTCTCCCTTCGCTTCTCAGCCTTCGCCGCGTATTTGTGGGACTATTGGTAAAAAAAAAAAAAGTTCAACCAGACTTTCTAACTTCTTGAGATCTCATGAGAAGTTAGAAAGTCTGATTGAACTTTTTTTTTTGTCCCACAAACATGCGGCGAAGGCTGAGAAGCGAATGAAGAAAAAGAATGCAGTTGAAAGGCAGGTTAATAAAAAATGTTTGGGGGAGGCGAGGGCATCTGGGCGGGGGTGAGCGCAGCAACTTTACCCTGCGCAGTTTCGGCAGGTGTCTGGCACGGGGAGGGAAGCAACTGGTCCGCCACCATGCTCTTGCCACCGTGTTGCTTCTCCACCCCATGCACAGACCCCGCCCCACCCCCGCACGCTCACGGACTACTGATGCCAGTACCGCGAAAAAGTAAGTCCTCCCTGAAAGTAAAACACTGTGCTTACTTCAGAGCCCAAAAGAAAGTAAGACAGTGTCTTACTTTTGGGGAAACACGGTATTTGTTAACAGCTCAGACTGTAGTCTCAATTCATGACCAGTTGCTGACAGCTAATAACAAGATTGATGAGCTAAATTGTCTGTCTCCTGGAAAGTATATCTTGAACAAGAGAAGCTGGTCACATAAAGACTTCTATCTGACAGCAGTAAGCTCCAGCTTTAGGGGTAGCAGAAAACCAATGCTGCTGTGGATCAATCCTCTGATATTAAGACTTCATTTTTACTAGATCAAACAACCTGTGATTCTTACAATCACATAGATTCATACTTTTGATTGCTAATAACCACCTGAATTCCTGCAAGTGGAAGATTCTTCCTCTCACAGATTCTTCATGGTGCACTGCTCCATTGTAACATAATAGATTTGGCTTGGCTCCCTCTGCAGTCAAATGCATTAGATTTGTGCTTATCTTTAAACCTATCTTTTCATGTTAGTCAGAAGGAAAGACTTTCTGAACAAATATGAAATAATCCTCATTAGAGTTTTCAGTGATGCCTTTACTGTTCCACAATTAGAGTTCAAGATTAAGCCTCCATCTAGAGGAGTTGGTGAAAAAGCTAGCTCACAACACTTCAGGGTTGACTCCCTGCAAAAGATAAGGGAGACTGAACAGCTGGAGTCAAGACCAGCTGCAATCAGGCAGCTTTTCTCTGACTCAAATGTCATATCTCTGACAGATGTGTTACCCACTCCCTCCATATTTGAGAGTGGACTTGTTTCCAGCTTAAATTAAGTCCAAGTAATTTAACATCTGCTAGATCTTCAGCAAGAAGACTTAAAACTGTTGCCCTGGTCTCTGACAGAGAGATTCATTCAATCAATGTATTCACCTCTATGCCCCAGTCTCAAACAAAATTTCAGCCATTTCTATGAGAAAAAGAGGTGTAACAGTCCACCGGTAACCTGACTCCAAACTGACTCCACTATACCCTATGCAGTGGATCACTCTACTCATTCATGAAAGTGAAGAGACATTCGTCTTTACTCATTGACTGACACCCCAAGAACCAGAGACACAGGAAGTCTCACTCTTCTAACTCAGAACATCCTGCTCCATTTTATACTTGTTTACACTCAGACATTTGCCCCAATACTGCTGAAGGCTCAACACATTTGGGGCTGACTACTAAAGCTACCCCACTCCCTTGTATTGCATCCCACTTAAATGACAACCACACTCTAATTTGGTATGAACTGAAGTATATTCAGACTGTTCATACGCAGGAGGACAGAGTAAACTCTTATGATCCAAAGTACCAGTATTCTGCTCCAGGAACAACCCTTACATTTGTCCCTCACTTTTTTGATTTCACTGAACTATGTGCACCTGGCTATATGGACAAATTATAATAATCTAATAGAACAAGTTAAGACTTTCAAATATTTAAGGATTGTTTTCTACACCATGGGCTAAACCAAATCCCATGCCAACTATATCAGCTTAAACACACAGAAAATATATTTGGCTCTACAATCTTCCTATTTCTCCAAAAGAGCCCAGAATAAACCTGCAGTGCTCAAAGTCTTCTTGATCAAGATCCAAGTTCAGCTCCTCTTTGGACTCCAGTTGGGTCCTTACAAGTCATTTCATCCCCTTGAAAGAGTTCAATATACAGTATTGTCTTAGAATAGAATAGAGCTGGAAGGGACCTTGGAGGTCTTCTAATCCAGCCCCCTGCTGGATTATTCAGACAGATAAATGTCCAGTCTCCTCTTAAAAATCTTCAGTGATGGAGCACCCACAATTTCTGGGAGTAAGTTGTTCCACTGGTTGATTGTCCTCACTGTCAGGAAGTTTCTCCTTAATTCCAGATTGTTTCTCTCTTTGATCAGTTTCCAACCATTGTTTCTTGTCCTTCCCTCTGGTGCTCTGGTGAACAACCTGATCCCCTCTGCCTTGTGGCAGCCCCTCAGATACTGGAACACTGCTATTATGTCTCCCCTATTTCTTCTTTTCTTTAGACTAGCCAAACCCAAGTCCCGTAGCCGTTCTTCGTATGTTTTAGTCTTGAGGTCTATCTTCCAGATATCCCACTGAGTTCCAAACGTGGTGCTTCAAGCTGCAATCAGATTTGTCAGTCTTACCCAGAAACATCTTTCTGAGCCTCTCTGAACTTTTAGTTCAGCTAGCCAGAAACTTTAGTTGCACAACGAACCACATGCCCTCCCACCAATTCAGAAGGGCTTTCTCTTTGGCTAGATTCAATGACATCCCAACAGCAATTATTGAAGGGAGATATCAAAACAACCCTTTTGAGCAGATTGCCAATGTTGGAGGAATAATTGGAACAATAAAACCTGTTATAGTGTATTGCTCCCTCCATGTTGATGCTCATCAGGAATTACTTTTTCTTTCTACTCATCGTCAAAGATTCTAGTTGCTCTGATTCTTTCTGTTTCAAGTTGTTACTGTCAGACCAATCTGATTCTGCTTTGATGATTATAGGCAAATACTGTTCCATAGTTTGTACAATACACATAATTTCTCCTCAAACCTCTATTAGATATTTTCTGTTTGGAATTAGAATGCAGCTATCCATTTAGTTTCTTCTTTTTATCAGTGTTTTATGTCCTTACTGTCAATTGAATTTTATTCACTTTTTTATTCAAAATTCAATTAAAAATCTTAATTTTATAACTTGCCCAAGTTATTTAACAACGTAGATAAATATTCACTATAATTGGTGACATAATAATTCCTTATGTATTATCGTTACTTACACATTATATGACTACATGTTAAAAAGATATAATATTAATTAAACAACCTGTGACCTGTTGGGCCATTTCAGAGATATTGTCAGGCCTGCCATCTTCAGCATCCTTTGCGTCACTGGCATCCTGCCATACAATGCAAGGGAGGGAGAGGCAATTGGGGAAATAAGAGTTCAACATGGGAATGTGCAAGGAAAGGGAGGGGAATGTCAGGGTGACAGGAACCACAGGTGTCAGTCGTGATTAACCTGGCCGATCAAGGACGAAGCCTGAGAACAGTATGTGAAACTACACCAGAGAGGCACCAACCTTCAAAGAATTCCCGAAACATCAAACATCAAAAAGACATTGATGGACTGCTAAAGGGGGGGAGGGCCAGAGGAAGGGGAAATTTGCAAACTTTACACAGAAATATTCAGATCCAGCTTTACTTTCGCTGTAACTGCTTGATTTTAATAAAAGAAACATTAACTTCAAAAAATGGAGTCAAGAGTCTTTCTTTCCTAAATGTCTGAGGCGGGACAAGCATGACATATATTTCCTCATCTAACATACACAAAGCTCCATGCTCCTGACCCTCCCCTGTCTCCTTTGTACCTTTGCACCCCTGTGTACCTTCCCCAACTTGTACTGCACTTCTCACAGACCTCACTACACCCTCCCTTCTCCTTATGGCACCTCTCATGCACCCCTCACTCACACGAACAATGGAGTCTCTCATGTACCCCTATACATATAGTGTAGGTTGGGAAGGGTACATGGGGATGCAGGAAGAGCCACATGTGCCCGGGAAGGCACTCAGATTCATGAGGTTGGTGTTCCACAAGAGGCGTCAAATGAGTTAGGGAGGGTAGGTGGTGGTGCAGTACCAGTTGGGAAGGGTGCATGGTGCTTGTGCAAGAAGGGCAGTGCAAGTCTGGGAGAGTACACAGGGCTTGGCATGGGTTGGGAAGGGTGCAGGGGGGTGCATGAGAGGTACTGTCTGGGTTGGGATGGGCATGGGTTGTGAAGGCTGCGCAGGTGGGCGTGCGGGTGCATGACAGGTGTTGTATAGGTTAGGAAGGGTGCGCAGTAGTGCAGTATGGGTTGGGAAGAGCATGCAAGGATGAGTGAGGTGTGGGTCGGAAAGAGTGTATGGGTGTGTGCAAGAGGTGCAGTGTGGAAGGGTGTGTGGGAGTGCACAAGTACTCTGTATGGTGCAAATGCAGTGGGGCTGAAGAGTTTGTGTGGATCGGAGAGACTTTCCTAAGCAACTTGAGACCTTCCCTGCCAACTTCCCCATTGAGGAGGTTCCTGCCAGCTTCCCACAAGCAAATTGTTGGCAATTATTATCAAGTTTATATTTCCTGCCAACTTGCACATTGATTTGAGTGTTGGAAATGATGATCATGTGACCATGGCTAACCATGTCAGCATGGCAGTGTTGAAACAGCAGTATGGCAATGCAGAAGTGGTCACAACTTTTTCAAATTTCATTCCTACAGGAGTAGCAGGGCCTGGCATTCTGTAAGTTAGTCAATGTGAAGTACCTTTGTTCAGAAATTGTTGCCCTATGATATTTTGTACAACTGAAGGTTGCAAACAGACAAATAAATATGAGACTTTTAGTAGTTTACAGATAATAACTTTTCCATAGTTTCAGCAATGTAATGCTTCACGCATTTCTAATTGGTAATTTTACTATTCTGTTATTCTAAACCAGACATGTCAAACACAAGGCCCGGGGGCCGGATACGGCCCGCGAAGTGGTTTCATGTGGCCCACGAAGCCATCCTGGAAACAGTGAGGGAATGGGCCCCGTTGTCTTGGCCTTGGCTCAGGCCGGCCGGGAGCCAATGTACAATTTTATGGTGGCCATCTATGCTGAAATGCATTCAGTCTTAGCTCCACAAGGCCATCTGGAAACAGCGAGGAACCAGCCCCTGCCATGTCGCCCCCGCCCCCTGGTGCATAATGGGGAAGTATCACCTTTGTGAGGAATGAAGAAATGTACCATCGTGCTGGCCACTTCCAGGCGATGGTGCATTTCTTCATTCCTCATGAAGGGTGACACCTCCCCAGCTGCGTTTCTTGACTGTTTTTCTTCCTCCCTCATCTCAAATATTTTTCCACCACTTTATACTTAGGAAAGAAGGAAGGAAGAAGGAAAGGAGAGGGAGGGTTTGAGGGAAGTCCTACCTTAGTTCCTGCCCTGCTGCCCTTTCACCATCCCCTTGCCCCCTCTTCCTGGGCTATCCTGGGGGGTCTCCCATCCTATTGCTAAGGAAGCTTTGGATACAAAGCCGGATCTCCTCCCATGGAGAGGGAATGGGCCTCCCTCTGACTTTGCTCTTGTACCCATCATGAGCAACCTGGCTAAGGAGAGCAAGCACAGCAGCAGCAGCCTTGAGGAGGAGGTAAGTGCAGCTGGGCGCCCCCTTGGGGCTGGGCATGGTGCTGTGGGTGCTCTAGGGCCAGGCTGGGCATTTGACCTCTGCTGCCCAGGGCTCCGGGCAGCCCGCACCACCATCCAGGCCCTCCCACATGGCCTGAGAGGAACAGTGAGGCTCCTCCAGTGGACCATGCCTTGGCACTTGCCCTGGTCCCACCCCCTTCTGCCAGAGACCCTCATATCTGTCCCACTCCTGCCCAGGCCTCCACAGGCACCCTTGATGCAAATGATGTAGAGCTGGCCACGCCCACCCAGTAGGCCACATCCACTCCATCCATGCCCATCCAGTAGGCTGCATCCACCCTGGCCACACCCACCCAGCCCCCTGAGGGCAACCGCAATGCTGATGCGGCCCTCAGTGAAATTGAGTTTGACACCCCTGTTCTAAACAATGGTTTAGTTATCTTAAATAAATTGAAACATACTTTACTATATTAATTTTATGCTCCAAATTCCTAAATTTTAATTTACAATTTTATATTGTTATTTTATAGCTTGTTTTACTGTAATCAGTTGTGACTCTTTTGTTTCACTGGTGAATGACCAAAATAAAATGACTATTAGTGATAATGCACCCATTGTTCTTTTTCAACTGGAATCATGGAAGAGGTTTTTTATTTAAAAATCAAAACATATATTTACAACCCTTTTCTGATTCTTCTGTTAAAGAAGAGCAAAATACATACTGTTGAACTTGGCAGCCGTTCTTCATTTGCCTTACATAGAAGATAAAGGCAAAGAAAAAAGATACTGTTTGAAATTTGTATGTGGTAAGATTAAAGCTAGCATTCTTAAAGATATTTACTCAGAGTAAACCCAACTGAATTTATAGAATTTGATTCTAAACAATATACTTAGGATCACACTACAATGTTTTTTTTATAAAAGGAATTTTCAGTTAAACAAAAGTTTTCTTAAAGCCTATTTGCAGTTGTACCTGAACGTAGCTATGCATACTGAATAATGTGAATGCCTCATAACACTGAAGAGAATACCTTTTAATCCGAAGTCCCCAGATGGTCCTTTAGCACCTTGCTTTCCAGTGAGGCCTTTGTCTCCCTGGATTCCCTTCTGTCCTGGCCATCCTTCGAACCCCATAGCACCTTTGAAACCTCCAATGCCAGAGGATCCTTTAGCACCTTGAATGGAAATTGCAAAACATATTTAGAGCTATGCCTTCAATGGAAATCTAAAGTACAATTATTTTGCAGTTTGAGAAGAAGCATTTGCAGAATTTAAACCTAAGAATGTCAAAGCAGCTGAAATACATAAGAGGTAGTTCATTTTATATGGTATTTTGTCATGCAATGACTTTTATTGCTACTTTTACTATATTTATGACCTGTTAAGTAACACATCCGCCCTTTTTAGTTTTACAAAGGGGCTTTACAATAAGCGAAAATAATTCATTTAGAGCCTTGCAAACGTTGATGGTGACTGAAAAAGGAGTGGGTTGTAATCCTGAGTAGAGATTTTATGTTGGAGTTGTTTTTACCTTTAAGACCTGGGAAACCAGGCATTCCGACAATGCCAGGGAGACCAGTTTCCCCAGCCTTTCCTCTAGTTCCAATGAAGCCTAGTTCACCTTTGTCCCCTGGCAGACCTTTCATGCCTATAGGACCCACTTTCCCTGGCTCCCCGGGTTCCCCTCTGACACCAGGTGATCCTATAAAAAAAATCAAAGAGAGGTTTTGATTAAAATATAGACAGCAGAGAGCAGTTATTGTACACCATTTGTATAGGTACACAAAAGACAATACTAAGAACTCATTTGTCTGAAAAATAAACAAAGGAAGTGTTTCCCAATAAATGACATTATAAGTTAAACCTAAAACCTTTTTTTTTACTTAGGGATCGGGTGCTGTTTAATAAGCAGATGGTGAGACTTCCAGTCTGATGCTTTGACAGGATGGGTGAAAGAAACTGGGGCTCCGGCTTCTCAGCCCGATTTCGTTCGGTCTGGCGACCGCAAGGGGTCAAAAAGTTGCCCTGGAAGGGCAATGAAGAAGGAGGGAAGCTTCGGGAGTCTGGACCAGATGGCGGTTGGTCCAGACGGACTGAAGAAACCTTTCTAAAGGACGGAAGAAAGGCTGCCTGATAAGCACAGACAGCCCAAGTCATCATCAGCTGGAAAAAAGTGAGGAGCTGCGGTGCTCCGCCAAACAGCTGATTGGCAACAGCGTGCTGAAACTCCTTATGGGCTCAGAAATGCTGATTCCCTGATTGGGAAAAATCTAAGAAGTAAAGACCCCAGAAGGACTAGGGGAGAAGAGAGTTAAAAGCGGCGAGCAATTACAAGAGGGGGAAGAAATTTACGGAATATAAAAGAATTCTTAAAAATGGAACTTAGATTGATTTAAAGAAAGACTGCCTAACCTACAGGACATGGGAAAAAAAATTTAGATTCAATTGCTAGGTTAAATAATTTACAAAGAACTTTAAAAGAAAACTTTGTAACAATCTTTTAAAACCAGATATAGACAATACAGTGTATGAGGACAGTGCACGAGGACATCTAGTGGCAAAAGGAGATACTACAGTAATACCAAATAATAAAAAAAATTGAAAAGTGTTTGACCTTGAAATAACACCTGGTGTAAACAAAGTGCCTTTATGTGATTTTGCATGAGAAAAGTCTCTCTACAATTATATCTGCTGACTCTAGATATAACCAAAACAGGAATTATTTGGAGGCAGTGGGCCTTTTCATTTGTGATTTGACTGGAGGATTTGGATTTAGTCTAAAGTAGTTGGCTTGATTTTATGGTTGGATTTTAACCTAAGATAATTGGCTTTTTTCCCCCTTTTTCTTTTCTTTTATCTTGTTTTTTCTCCTTGAGAATTTGGATCTAGCCTAAAGTAATTGGCTCTTTTCACGGTTTGGATTTAGCCTAAGATAGTTGGCTCAAAAAATGAGTGCATCAAATCTCACCAGACTTATGAAAAGTCTGCTGGCTCATAGTCAAGTGATCGTCTACTAGGACTCCAAGGTCCCTCTCACAGTTACTGTTTGTGAGCTAGGTCTCACCTAATCTGTACTTGTATCTTTGATTTTTCCTGCCTAAATGTAAAACTCTGCCTTTCTCCACATTCAAACTCATTTTGTTAGATAGGGCCCATTGTTCCAGTTTGTCAAGATCTTTTTGAATCCTGAGCTTGTCTTCTGGGGTGTTGGCTACTCCTGTCAGTTTAGTGTCATCTGCAAATTTGATGAGTTCCCCTTCTATTCCCTCATCTAAGTCATTGATGAAGATATGAAGATAGGGTAGACATTAAGAGTGCATTTTGTGGCAGACGGACATAGAGGCTATCTTGATATGTTGGGATGTGTGGCAGAGGAAGAATAATTGAATGGGGAAAGGCTTGGTATGTCCTCATATGTGTAACATAAAGGGGGGATGCAGAGGCTGCCAGATTGCTGTCTATAAGAAAAACAGAAAGTGATGAGGTCGTACAGATCTTTTGGGGGGGAATACTGGAAGAATTTCTCACCAACAAATCCTTGTGAGCCTTTTCTACCCAGGGACCCTTGCTGGCCTGGGGATCCAGGGAATCCAAATGTTGCTGGTGGTCCTCGGATACCGGTCGGGCCAGTAGGCCCAGGAAACCCAGGATTCCCTTTGGATCCAGGTGAACCAGGGAAGCCGTCTCTTCCTAACAGAAGGAGATAATAAGTAAACAGTCATGCTTTAGAGAACTTATATGTACAGGCACAGCACTGAATTCTTACTGAATCAATCAAACATTTTCCTAGTGGAGCTTAAGCAAAGGCTATCTTGTTCGTATAAGATGAATCCAGCCCAAAGACTTACAAATTCTAATAAACAGTGATGACAAAACCAGTAGAAAAAAAATGGCTTGACTAGAAGCTTTTATGCTGAATTATCTCATCACTTGCAAGCAGCATTTGTAAAGGCACGCTTGCAAGCAGCATTTGTAAAGGCACGCTTTTTTCTGCTGATGATTATTGCTTCTTTTGCTGGGGTAACACGCAGTATTTTTGGTGATGGTAATGAACTGCATTCAAGAATAAAAATCATGAATCTTTTCAAATTCATATTCAAATTAAAATTAAAATACAAACTTATTTTAGTTAATGATTGAATGCACTTATATATACAAGATAATATAAATGAACATAAAATAACCTAAAATGAATAATCACAAAACCAATTTACTCTAGACTTATACCAATCAAAAGACATGTCTATCATTTCTCTCTCTCTCTCCCTATCTATTCATCCATCCATTCACCTATTCTCCCATGTACTCTAATCTAATCTCAATTGCACACAACATAAACACTAAAATTATGAATGCACACATACCATATATTCACACTTAAATGGCAAGCAAAGAAAGGGCTTTTCTGAATATTCAATATTGGATATTGTTATAGATATCAGATGGTTTCAGGAAAGAGTTCTATCCAGGTTAAAATAATTTGGAAACAGCAACAAATCCAGTTGATGTTCTATAGCCATTATTTAATTGGGGTCCTAGTATTCTCCAACCTCAGTGCCAAAAATGTGTCTAGAGAAAAACTATGAAACTACAGCCTAGACTTTAAACAGCATTGTGAAATTGTTTATTTTCAAGAAAACCATTAATAGAGAGTCCAGTTGATATATACAGTTTGGGAGAGTACTTTGTGGCTCCCATATTATTTTAAGCTGAAATTTACATATTAAATCAGGAACTGAATTAAACTCCACTAATATTTAAAAGCAGAGTAAAAAAAAAATAAGTGGAGTTGTTTTTAAAAGCTACATATCAGAATACTGCATGTGGAATATGCAGAAATCATTATTTTGCCCTATATCAGTCAATAGGATAGTAATAGCAATAGCACCTATACTTATATAGCACTTCATAGTGCTTTACAGCACTCTCTAAGCAGTTTACAGAGTCAGCATTTTATCCCCAACAATCTGGGTCCTCATTTTACCGATCTCAGAAGGATGAAGGTTGAGTCAGCCTTGAGCCATTCAGAATTGAACTCCTGAAGTGAACAGTGAGTTAGCCTGCAGTACTGCATTCTAACCACTGCACCACCATGGCTCACTCATAGAATCATAAGCCTGGAAGGGACCTCAGAGGTCTTCTAGTCCAACCCCTACTCAAGGAAGGAGCCTTATACTACCCCAGTCAAATGGTTGCCCAGTCTACTCCTGAAAACCTCCAGTGATCGAGCACCCACACCCTCATGTGGCAAGCTATTCCATTGATTAATTGCTCTCATCAGAAAATTTCTCCTTACTTTTAAGTTGTATCTCTCTTTGATAAGCTTCCACCCATTACTTCTTGTTCTGTCCTTTGATGGCCCCAATCCCCTCTTCTTTTTGACAACCCCTCAAGTAGTGGAAGACAGTTATCATGTCCCCCTGATAATTCTTTTTGATAGGCTAAGTGTCATGGTTCCGACAGATGAAACTCTTCAAAGAACTTCGAGGCATTGTTTACCTTAAAGAATCTTTATTCAAGTTGCATGGCATCGGTACGTACATGGTCGAAGCCAAAATCTGAATCCCCCTCCCCTGAGCACATAGTATCAAAGCACAATTCGCTCCTCCAATTAACAGTCATAAATCATATTCTTCAATTAGTTTGAATTGCAGGCTTTTTCTCCTGTTCTCTAACCCACCAATTCTTATCATCTCTTATTTCAAGCTCTGAATTCACACACTAGTACAACAATGTTATGTCTAACTAACTCCCACCACATTCCGCCTCCTCCCACAGCATCATCTAATTCTAAAAGTAAAGCATAAGAAAGAAAAAGGCTGCATCTTCATATGTTGTCAAAACAAGAACATCCAATGTTAGCAGCGTTGACACTAAGCATACCTAGATCCCTCAACCATTTGTACGTCACATCCTTTATCATCTTTGTTGCTCTTCTGTGCAGCCTTTCCAGGGTCTCAACATCTTTTTTATATCATGGTGACCAGAACTGGATGCAGTATTTCAAGCATGGTCTCACCAGCATGATGTAAAGTGGTACTATTACTTTTGTCTTGACACTATCCCTCTGTTGATGCAGCTTACACTGGCTTTTTTGACAGCTGCAGCACACTGCTGGCACATATTTAAGTGATTATCCACTAGGACACCTAGAGCCTTCTCACAGTTACTATGTTGAGTCAGGTACCACCTATTCTATGCATTTGATTTTTCCTGCCTAAGTGCTGGACCTTATTTTTCTCACCACTGAACTTCATCTTGTTGGCTAGTGCCCAATGCTCAGGTTTGTCAAGATCCTTCTAAATTTTAAGCCTTTCTTCTAAAGAATTAGCTATTCCTCCCAGCTTGATGTCATCTGCAAACATGATGAGTTCTCCTTCTAACCCCTCATCTAGATCATTTATGAAGATGCTGAAGAGTACTTGACCTAAAGCAACACCATTTTTTAAAAAAAATTATGGGAAAGTCATTCTGAAAATTTGTTTGTGCTGGTGCCAATTCAGTCATGTTTACTAGAGTCCTCCCCAGAACTACAGATAAGTGCCGATGATGCCCCTTGCGCATTGCGCACTCAGAACATTGTCTGTCTGTGAGACTATGTTGTCATTGGAGCTATACCACCTAGCTCCTTCCCTGTTTTATCTTGCTGCAGAACCTGTCAAACCTTAACATCCCAGTGGCTCCTCCAGTACCGAACTCCGTCTTTTCAGCTTTCTGCCACCCTCTTTGTTCTAATGTATAAGGCACCACTGTATCGTTTCTTTCTCTTATTAACTTTTGTGTAAGCAGAGCCAGAGTTACCTTTAATTCCTGGTAAGCCTTGATCTCCTTGCAAACCTTTTGCTCCTGGGAATCCAGGTGGCCCAGTGTCCCCAGGAGACCCTGGTGGTACTCCTAGAACATCACCTGTAAGCCCCTTTTCCCCAAGGAGGCCTGGCAAACCTGGCAAACCAGGATTTCCTAGAAGCCCCCTTTCTCCAGGCAATCCTGGGGCACCTCTGCTTCCTCTGGGTCCAGTGAATCCTAAGTGTAACAAAATGACAATGGTAATAAGAATCAAACTTTGATCAATTAACAGTGAATTAGATAAAGTAAGGGAAAAAGATTAAAATAATCAGCATCGTGAGTATTATTAATCAGATACTTATTCCCATTAGTTTCTATGGAAATATAGTAATTACTGAAATACCTCATTTGCATATGAGTATAACCTAAATATTAATAACCTGTTATATGAATATTTCCTGCACATGATTTAGAAAAAGTGTTGGCATAATAAATAGACTGATCAAATAGTCCAATAACAGGATTTTTTAATTATAATTTGTCCATCAGATTAAAATTTTCTCAGTGCTGCCCTCCTTTATTTCATGAACATGTGAATTGTAATCTGTTGGTACTATAAACTATCCTTCTAGTTAAATTAATTTGCTAAAAAAAGACTCTTGCCATGTTCAATGGGTACAAATAGAATTTATATTAGTCACACTCTATTATAGCTGTATATTCTTGCATTATATTAAGAAATTAATAATTAGTATCACAAGTACATATCTGAAACTTACCTTAGAATTTGAAAAAAGTAGAAAAAAAATTGTCCCTGACACACTGCTTATTCTCCCATTCCTTGCTGACACAGGTTTTTTAACACATGGATATACATGTTTAATTTAATGAATTGGAAAATAAAATCCATAGGATTTGAGACATTATTTATGTTAAACCTATTTCTGCTAGAAATATTATAAAGAAGAATTGATCACTAGTTACAACTACCTTTCAAATTAGGCAAACACCATTTCTTTTTAAATTCATGTAATTATTATAAAATATTTTTTTATATTCGAAAATGAGATATTCCAATAACATTTAAAATCAAAGACATCTCTACAATTTTATATAAAACTCTCATGTTGAATAAACAGGTTTTTAAAAATATGAGAAGATTTAAAATATGAATTCAGTGGATTAGTTTGGACCTTTTATATTGTATAGTAATCAAATTTACTTTAGCAAGTAATCACTGACTATAAAAATAATTAATGACTATTAAAATTGATTACATTAATTTAACTTTGTCTAGATGGTGTTGAAAGTAATCAGCTTGATGTCTATTACCATCCCTGGTTGACAATATCTAATTCTTCTAGGTTGAACATTTTTGGGAAAAAGGGAAATATGCACCAACCTATATGAATTAATTATAATGTTTTATTGTCTAGCCCCAAAAAGGGATTTTCCAAATATCACATACAACCAGCTAAAGAGTGAAATAAAAATGCTATCCAAATATTTCAAATCTCTGCAAGTAATTGTTAGTTTTACAGTACCTGCTGGACCTGCTGGACCTCCATGACCTTGATCCCCTTGAAGTCCTTTCAGTCCTTGTGATCCATACAAACCAGGTTCACCAGGAATCCCTTTTGTACCCTTTGCACCTATGATTTGAAGATGTAATAGAAAAGTGAGGCACACTTATTATATGCATGTTTTTTATTTAAAAAATTTAATTACAGCAAGAAAAACTAACTGTAGTGGAATGTAGTCCAGATTTCCAAGTGGGAGGGAGTGTGTTCCAGAAGAGCAAGAAGCAGCAAAGTTTAGATAGTTTGTGTGGAAGAAAAAGAGTTAAAATGGCTCCTCCCTAGGAATTCTCAGAGTATATGTTTTGTGGTGTAAATAGTTTAGCAATATTTCTGTCTATAGGTAAGGGATAATAAAGGAAACTGCTTAGAAGAATCTCAACATGTCTTTCTTGGTTTTTGCAAACTGACACTAATGCAAACTAAGAGAAAGAAAGTAGTAAGATAAAGTAAAGCCGCCCTGAGTCCTCCGGGAGAAGGGCGGGGTATAAATATAATAAAATTCAAAATAAAAAATTCAAAATAGTGCAGAAAAAGAAGAAGCAGAAAAACATCAGGTAAAAGAAAAGAAAAGAGATATATAAAGGAGTGACTTCCACTCTTCATCACAACAAATAAGTTTGTAACTCTTCCCCCTATAATGTTACAAACAGACATTTCTTATTTCCATAACCTATCCCCTATCTATAAGCAAATCCATAAAACATGAACTCTTCAGTCTGTAAACAATTTCCAGAACTTTATAAAAACCATGGCATGTCTTATTTTCACCTTGATCTAATGAACCAACTTTATATTTCTTCCTTTTACTTCTGACAATCTTAATCTTAAATTCATTCAGATATTGTCATAGGCTTTGGTTTCTCTTCAATCTTTTTTGTCCCATCACAGAAGCTTGTTCAAAGCTTTAGCAAGCCTCTTTTGTAAATGTAATAAAAATACGTTATCCAGACCATCTTCTTGATTTAGTGTTTGTACTTTACTTTTAATTTTGAAAACTTCAGTCAGCTTCTTTTGTATATCCAGTAAAGAGTCTTTATCTGGGTTGTTCACTTGGTCTGTCCTTTGTATTTCCACTTTAGCTGCCTTCTCTGTTTTATAATCCATATTTTTAAAAATCCAATATTTCTGTTTCTACTATTTCTGCATCAGACAAGATTTGTTTCACATCTGCTGCTCCTTCATTACCATCTTTTGGACATAATCTAGCCATAGAAGCAGGCATCATTACTAATCATCAAAATCCTATTTAGCTTTTTGCTGTTTATTTCAGATTCTTTAATCTTACAATTAATTTTTCTTTTGTTCAGAGCTGAAGGTCAATTCACCCTATGGAGATTTGTCAAATTTGTCATTCTGAAGGTCTTTAATAGCTTTAAAATAGTTAATAAGCATTTTCTGAAACTGATTAGGAAATGAGACTTGCAAACTTAGTGTCCTTTAAAAGGCTTTGTTGTGGCTGTAAGCAAGATGGCTAATTCTGTCATCTTCCAGCACTGAAATCCACAGAAAATCATTGTCTCCTCACAAAGACTAGCTATCTGGAGCACATGTAGATAATCTCCCATCCTTTCTTTATCTGGAGAGATTCTAAGGAACCAGTCTACACTCTGGATCCTTGGTTATCAACTCTGCATCCACAGAGTCATATTTAGTTTTCCATACCTCCTCCAGAAGTCCCAATAATATTTCTTAAATACATCTTGCTATAATGAATAGTCATTTTGATTCAGAAACAGATGGAATATTTTAAAAGGATTTAAAATGAAAAATATTATCCTTTGTAAAAAAAAGTTACTTTGAAACCAATACAAAAGATTTTTAATTCTGTTGAAATATTATGGACATAAAGAGTTTGACATGTTAAGTAAGTTAAGAACAAGTTTGTCTACTTGAAACAAAAACAAGAACTACTATATTACTGATTACCAAGAAAACATCAACAATGATTACATTTGTCAACTAAAAATTCAGAGTTTGTACAAATACACAAAATTGCAAAATAATAATTGACAGATGAATATGGAAGTTCATTTTTAATTAAGTAAGCTAGATTTGATCTCCATTTACAGGGGGTCTTTAATTAACAACCACTCATTCAGCAAACAATGTTGAAACAATGCTGAACGAGTGGTACTTGGGGTTCCAGCTGCCACAGCATTCCCACAATCATGTGATTGTAACCTGGGTGCTTAGTTTGTGCCCATTTGTGACCTTCTTTAACGTCTTTCAACAAGGAGAGTCTTGTGATGTTGCACTTTATGACTGCATTGCTTAGTGATAGCAATTCTAGCCACAATTCCCATTTTTAATTGAGGACTAGTAGTACAATATTATTTTGGAATAATTATTACAGTTAAGAAAAATTGGATCAAATTATTCTTGCTCTGTGAATTATGGTACTATTTGATTCTTTTAAAAAAGCATACCTGGTAGTCCAGACAGTCCTGGATGCCCTGGAGTTCCTTTTGAGGTGGTAACACAGCTGGTCCCTAAAGAAAAACATATGGAGAAAATGAACAAAAATGCTCATGGTTCCTTAACAAATGAATTATGGCATAGGTTTTGTTAGCTTAGAGCCCACATTATCAGTTGAGTAGGAAAAACAGTTTTACTCTTTTAATGCAATTACTTTAGTGTTGCTTCTGAATTTTTAATAATTGTGCATAGCATATTTTGTTAAACAAAATTTGTGAAAGTAAAATGTATAAAAAGAGTTTTGAAACAGTACTCTTTTCTCACAGTTTTCTTGTTGCATAGGTTTTTTGTCTTATGGGACAAGAAACATTCATTTAAATAAAAGTATATAATTCACTTTTGAATAATCATATTTGGTTTATTTTACCTGAATGAATTGATTCTGTTCTATTATCTCTAAGAAAGCGGTGCTCTGTTTGCCCACAATCTATAAAACAAAAGAAGCAAACAAACAAGAATGTCTGATTTCAGGCACCAAACTATAATATTCTGTTAGACTATACCTGTGAATCCATCTAAAAGAATTCAGTGAATCAATTATCTGTCTGAAACAATTCATTCATAAGCAGGGAAAAAATGTCAAAGTATTCAAAATATAGGAGATGGACAAATGAAACAATGTTATATAAGGAGATCTATAAAAAATGTATGGCCAACACCTTTATATTGCAAAGCAGAAGGGACACTTTAATTTGTTATTCTACTAATCCTAATTCCAAAACAATTTCATCAAATACTTCTGTTGTTAAGATTCAGTGATTTATTAATTATAGCATCCACCTCAGAAATTAATTTCCAGTTCACTGAGACGGAAATTCCCTGTCAGTCTTTCCATTTTTCACTTGCTTTAAATATCAAAAGATCGCCCTTGGAAAAGCCTACAGCCTTTCTACAAGCAGAACAAATGAAAAAATCTGAGCAATATGTGCTATTTTGAACTAAAAAGTGAAATACAAGTATTATCTATCTATCTATCTATCTATCTATCTATCTATCTATCTATCTATCTATCTATCTATCTATCTATCTATCTATCTATCTGTTTTTGGTTTGTATGTTTGTGTGTGTGTGTGAGTGAGAGAGTGGGGGGCAGAGAGAGAGAGAGAGAGAGAGTGTGTGTGTGAGAATTTTAATTTTAGACAAAAGCTTATAGTTGACATTAAAATACTTGTGTATTTTGTTTCTTGAATTTATCTGGCATGAGTTGAGTCAAGACTTTATCACTAAATATGACCAGGAAGTAAGAGATATTTAGAGAGTTCTCTTTAGAGACACTTCGAACCCAGTTCTAAGAACAAAAGATATTGCAGTTTTATTCCTGAGAATAAAAGGTCTTGGTTAGTTGACTAGCTGCTTTGGCCATCAAAACAAGCTCTTTGCCAGGCCAGTATCTGCAAAGCTTATCTGCTCTTTCTAGCTGGCCAAGACCCTGATATACCTTTCCTGATTGCCTGATTTTGTGCCACCATTTGTGTGATCCATCCTATACTAGTATAAATGTTGGTGATTTCAACTGTAATCTATATTATTGGTTGTTTATGTTATGTAATTTTGTTGTATTTTATGTGCATTTTTTTAGTTTTATTAATTATAGATTTATGTAATTCTGTTGTAGTGTTTTCTGGACTAAAGACCATAATAAAGGTTTCAATGTGATTAAAAAGCTTCAAGAATTTAACCCACTCTCCCCATATACCAGCCATTAGCATACAGTACATATCATTTAAACCAGCCATTAGGTTAGTGTACATAATTTGATTTCTCTAATGAGAAAAGGACAATGAAAAGTGTTCTTTCCTGGCAGTCTATCACTACCAGACTCTGGAAACAGTGAAGCCAAGTCAAGCTCACAATATTCCAACATTTTAAAAGATTTCTTTAACAGTCAGTGTAAGGACCCACTTCAACTAACCACCCAAGGAAGCAGTACTCTTGAAACAGGCATTGTCTCAAAAGGAAACTTTATTAGGGGTTAGTGACAGTAGGGAAGTCAAGGCGAGATCTGGGGAAAAACCCGCACAAACAGTATAGTTAAGCTAGCAATATTCCTCCTCCCACCAAAGTCATAATATCCATTTGAAATCCAGCCAATACCCATCTCAAGGTCTTCTCCAGCTTTCGTTTAACTGTCTCCCTGATAAGGGAGACACATTCCTTTCTCAAGATGATAGAGGCAGGAGAGGGAAAGTAGAAAGCGAAAGTTATCCCAAGCAAAAGCATACTCCCCCTTCCCCCCAGCAGAATGGCAGGCCCCAAAAGTAGAATAACTATGCAGGAGAAACAATGAGGGTTTGGGGACCTGACAGTCAGACTTGAATATTCAGTTAATATTCAGCTATTCTTCACCACAAACCGTAGAAAATACTTTTTTTCAGTAGATCACATAATATTTTGCTATTGGTTTTAGTATTTTGTTACTGTGTGGTATACATACTTTACAAAATGTATACAGTAATTTTCTGCTGATTTTGTTTCTACTGCTTTTGGTTTGAGGAATCAGGAAACCAATACAATGATTGGAATGACTTTTTTGGCATATCGTATAACAATCACAAAGATTAATGAAATCTGTGTTTTGAACTAACTGATACTACAGTGGAACTGGCAAGCATTGTTTCTATATTTTTTACTCTGCAGATAGATTTCTACTGAGTGTAGGTATAATATATTGATACAAACTTCAAGATGAATCTGTGAAGTCCCAGCTAAAAATGATATGAAAAGTACGACAGTCCATTTTCATTTATTAGATCTGACTTTGTACCGTTTTTCATTTTATGATTGTCATGTCTCAAACTTTTTGTAACTAGTCCCTTCCTCCTAGCAGCCATTTTGTGATCATATTCATCTCAAGTGCTCAGATTTCCAAATGTGCTCAAACTAGTTGGGGATTTCAAGAAAGTACCTGTCTGAGCTGCAGTGCCTGGCGGGCCAGGAGGGCCTTGAAAGCCAGGCTTTCCATATGTGCCAGGGTCACCTGTAGGACCACGATATCCCTTTGGACCAGGCAAACCCACACCAGGCAGACCAATTTCACCAGAAAAACCTTTTAGGCCTGGTTGGCCTTCACTCCCAGGGTCCCCTTGTTCTCCTCTTATGCCATCACCCTGCAAAGAAATTTAAAATACTGTAAGTTGCATTCACTTCCATTATGATGAAGTGTTTTGAGGCATTGGTAAAGGATTATATGGTTTCATGCCTTCCCCCTACATTTGACTCATTACAGTTTGCCTATCAGAAGAACCACTCTGTAGAACAGGGGTGTCAAACTCTCAATGTCACAACTTTTTTGCCATTGCCGGCAATGGGGTGGGCGCGGTTTTGCTATGATGCATCCGGCCTGCGGGCCAGCAGTTTGACACCCCTGCTGTAGAAGATGCACTTTCCTGTGTGCTTCATCTTAGCTTGGCACACCTGGAGGAGAAGAATACTCATGTGTGAATGCTGTTTGTTGATTTTAGTTGGGTGTTCAACCCAATCATTCCTTGGCATCTGGTGAACAAACTGGGCCTATTAGGTTTTAATACTCCTTTATGTAACTGGATACTTGATTTCATAATTGATAGGCCCCAGTTTGTGCCAGTTGGAAGAAAAGTTTCCAATTCCAACTCCTTGAGTACGGGTTCCCCACAGGGCTGTGTCTTGAGTCCATTACTGCTCACTTTGATGACCCATGACTGTTGTGTCAAATCTGCTATGAATTGTATTATGAAGTATGTGGATGACATGGCAGTGGTGGGTCTTATCCAGGACGACAATGAAAATGCTTATAGCAGGAGTGTCAAACTGCCGGTCCGCGGGCCGGATGCACCATAGTGAAACTGTGCCCACCCCTTACTGGCAATGGAAAAAAAAGTTGCGATATGTTGCAACATGTCATGTGATGTTGCGAGTTTGACACCCCTGGTTTATAGGGAAGAGGTGAAGGCTTTGATGGACTGGTGCAATAAAAGTAACCTGGTTCTAAATGTTAATAAAACAAAGGAGATCATTGTAGATTTTAGAAAGAGGCAGTATAGTCATACTCCACTTAGTATCAAGGATGCAGATGTAGAAGTGGTCAACAGTATTAAGTATCTGGGAGTGCAGATAACTAACAATCTGAATTGGTTCTCCACACATCATCCTTAGTGAAGGGTTCAAACCAGCATTTGCATTTCATGTGTTGGATGAGGAGAGCACATTTTTCTCCTTCTGTCCTGGCCACTTTTTACAGAGGCACGATTGAGAGCATTTTAACAAACTGCATCACTATTTGGTTTGGTGGTAGCAGTGCCTCAGATAGAGGGTCCATACAGAGAGTGGCAAGGACAGCCTAGAAGATTATAGGAAGCTCACTTCACGTTATTCAGGACACTGCTTATAAGCACTATGTGCTTAGAGCTTAGAGCTCAAAGCATTGTTAGAGACCCCATACACCCACTTAATGGTCTGTTTCTGTTGCTCCCCTCTGGAAGGAGGTTTCAAAGTATTTCTAACAGGACTACCAAATTCTGTAATAGCTTTGTTCCCTATGCCATCCATCTGGTAAACTCGCAAGATTTGTTTTTCTTGCCATGTACATGTATACATCTGAACTAAACTGTGTTGTTTCTCTGTGTAATAGAATATATGTGGGTATGTGGGCATATGCAAAAATTTTCTGGTCATATTTATGTAGTGTATATTGGAGGTGGTGACCCTTTGAGAGCTGTATGCAATGAAATTCCATTTTAATGTATGCCAATTAGTATACATTTAAAGTGACACTAAAGTTATTTTATGCCTATGTCTATTCTTCCACCAGATAAATTGTTTTAGCACTAAATCACTTTTTTAACTTTCTCAGTTACATTTTTACTGAGTTACCCAATTTCTATAAACAGGTAACTCCTATACCCCACAATTACTTACAGAATATCCATTTCCATTTCCAATTGAATGGCTTCAGTAAGGAAATGTCGATAACAAAGGAAAAACTCCAAGTAGTAAGAACTGGTAAGATTGTTTGATGGATGAATAACTTAGAATCAAAATAGCTTAGAAAGTGGTTGTAAAATTATTGCTAGGAGAATATTTATTGCAAGTGATTTTGTCTCTGACATCTCTCTATCTGTGTAGTGCAAATAACTTGCAGCATTTTTTTAACTATGTTGAACCCATAAAATGTTCAAATTATCACACTCAACACTGTGTGATTCTATTAGTCATTGTTGGGTAATTTTTAAAATTTGCATGTTATGAATAAGACAGGCTGTTCCAACAAATTTTAGAACAAAATTTTATTCCAGTTGAAGCTTCCTAGTTGTCCTCAAGGATAACTGAAAATTTCTGCCTGATTGCAAACTATTCCCATCCAGGAATGCTACAGCTTTTAAAGCATCTAAAAACTGTGAAAACAGTAAAAGCAATCAACCAATAATTGACGAGACTAGCTCAGGATGAATATTAAATCCCCAAGAATCACTGTCTTTGCCCTTCCAGGGTTCAGGCCTATCTTGTCCATTAATAAGTCCAGACAGCAACTCAGCACCTTTGGGACTTGACCTGATTTCAGCCATTAGGAGAAGTCAAGTGGAAAGGTCATCAACATGGTAAATCTCCCATTAGGATCTTGTGGGTTGAGGGTGAACGCCTGACTTACCCGAAGACCAGGAAGCCCTGGAAAACCATCTATGCCAATCCTGCCTGGTAAACCATCTTCTCCTGGACTTCCAGGAATTCCTGGAGTTCCTGGGTCTCCTTTGGCACCTTGAAAACATGGTTTTATGGAAATGCAGCAAAATAAATCAATATATAAATAAAGTGGTTTAGTTTACATTTTAAAAATATATCTGTTTGTACCTTTTGTGGTAACATTTTGGGAATCCCCTTTTATCCCTTTTGGTCCAGATGGTCCAGGTACACCAGGGAATCCCTATTGATGGATATTAAGAAAATTTAATTAATTACTCTAAAAACATACTGCAAAAATATAAGAAAAAGATTGCTACCTTTTGTGAGAACAAAATGCACTGAAGTTTTAGAACAAAAGGAAAAAGAAGTCATATAATTTCTCCCAATTAATGCAGATTTGTAAGTGGAATGCCTGTGTGCAGTGCTCTGTTGCAAAGAGAGGATTTCAAGAAAGTATTGAATTTGTGCAAAGTTTACAATAGGCTGAATTTTACACAGAAAAGAATGAAGAAAATAAGATATAATTTTCACAAGATGATGAATTATAGTTTAGTTTCACAACTGGATCTGGTATTTCCATTTTTTTCTCATAAAAGATTCATAGCAGATTTTTTTTTATAAGTCCAAAGAATTAATGGAACTTCTACAGGGAAAACAGTGCTTTCAAGGGGAAGGTCTACATGTGGGACTCCATTGCTGCAAAGAATGTAGACTATTTTATGGAAACTTATAGTATGTAAACCACAATGAGTGTCCTGTCCACTCAGATGCTGTTGAAGAGTCTGCTCTAGGTGCTAGGGAAGAATGTCAATCTCAAGAGTTGGTAAACAATCAAACACTTGAGGCTAACTATGCTGTCCATTTTGCTCTGGCTCTGATCTCCTCTGCAGCAAGTTCTCCACTTTGCTAGTGTATGGATGTACACACTCACCCACTCCATCCGCTGCTGACTGTACCTTTCTTGAAATGCAGTGTAAATTGCTTAAACCTCAATTTCCTGTGTCTGCTTGGAACAAGACTTGGAGAGCCTTTTTCAGGAAAAGAAGTCCATATATGAAGAACTTCACTTTTGAAAATATTTATGGCATAAATATACATAATACAATTGGGAAAATATTACATAATATTTTGTTCTCTAAAATATACAATATTCCATTACAAAAATATCATACCTTTATACCAGAAAAGCCCGGAAGTCCATGGTAGCCTTGGTCTCCTAATTCTCCTTTTTCCCCAGCATATCCTATTGGACCTTGAAATCCTGGAGGACCAGGTTGTCCTGCAGGACCCCTTCTTCCTTCGATATGTTCAACACATTTGCAATCTCCTGCATCACCTACAAATATATATTTGTGTGTGTTTGTGTTTGTGTGTGCATAGTATTAAAACATTTACTTGCAACTATGGGTTTTAGCAAAATTCTTATAAAATTACAGCTATCCATATCAGTTCCGTATATATCCCTTCATAGATTCAAATATTACAAAGAAGAAAACCTTGTGCCAATAAAGCTGGGCTACTATATCTGAGTTTAAAATCTGATAGGACCACTAGATGGACGTATAGAGATACTGAAAATTCTGCAGCCTGGATTTGGTAATCTAAATATTATGACAAATCCCACAGAAAAGCCAAATGGGATGCCTGGAGGTCACATTCAGCCTGCTCTTTGCATCAAGGACATAGTAGTCTTAAACAATTCCACAGCACTATGCATCTTTACCTAAAGGTAAGTCATACTGCATTCCTTGGGGTTGAACTTTAACTCTGACTAGTACTGAAACATCCACTTTTACACACTTGGGATTTCACTATGGAAACCTCAACATCTAATTCCACTATGGAAACCTCAACATCCAATTCTGTATGAGCCTGAAAAGAGATGTTGCTTTAACAAATTATTTTAGTGAAGTTAATCAGGCTGTTAAAATAGTTGCATTCATTTCTGAATCATGCACAGCCCTATATTTAGCATTATTATTTATTTGCAACATTTACTTATAAAATGATGATTAGGGAGCTTATAATCAATACAATGCAATGCAAAAGATTACAGGTAGTCCTCAATTTATGACTATTTAACAACAGTTCAAACTTATGACAATGCTGAAAAAGACTTTGATGACTTAAGACCAGTCATCAAAGTTATGATTGTTGCATCACCCCCACAGTCATTTGAGTGTGGTTTGGGCATTGGGAACTGGCTCACATTTACAATGGATGCAGTAACCTGTGGCCATGTGATTGCAATTTGTAGACCTCCTCAGTTAGTCTCTGACAAGCAAAGTCAATGGGGAAGCCAGATTCATTTAATGACCACTTAACAACTGCAGTAAAATTAATCATAAAATCAGGTCTGGTCACCTGATGACTTGTTTACCATCTGCCTCATTTAGCAATAAAAATTCCAGTACCAATTGTGGTTGTAAGTCAAGGACTACCTGCATTTATGAAACAACCAATTGAAGCCTACACTACAATGGATCTAGCTGTACAAGCTTTCTTCCTCTGGATTCCAGCCATTTTCAGATGATTTTCATTGATCTTAACTCAGATTAATACAAAGGAGTCACACTAGCTATAATCAGTGGGAGAAAGTAAATCAACCAGAAAATTTCCAGCTCTCATCAGATTTCATTGATCTCCACTGAAGATGAATAATTTAATATGTCCTCTTATAACCTTAAACCTTAACAAGTTGATTTGATCATGATAAGGAAGCAGATAAAATGCCTCACTTTTTTTGTCCCTTTCAAGACAGTGAGGATTTGAGATGGGATTGTATGTTCTGTGAAATAGAACCTTCACAGAACTTTCCATCAAAATGAAGTGATGAGGCAAAGCAAAACACACCATTTTGCTACTTTCAATTGGGAGTGCCAAGGTTGAGTGCTTTTTTTATGTTAAGGTGTTTTTATCTGTATTTCCAATGGAAGATCCACATCCAGTAAGGGAATGGAGGATTTTAGAAATAAACCACTGGCTTAAGGGATGGTGCCATTGAGAGAACTTTGGATTCCTAGACCACAATCTGTATTGTCCACATAAAGGACTTCTGGCAGAGCATGGGCTGCACCTCACACGAACCAGGAAGAATATGTTTGGAAAACAACTGGCTTGGCTTATCTGAAGGGATTTAAACTAAAACTGGAAGGGAAGGAAGACCATCTTTAGGACCCTATCCCAAACATAAACCCTGAGACAAGGGTGTCAAACTCGCAACGTCACGTGACGTGTCGTGACTTTTTTTCTATTGCCAGCAATGGGGTGGGCGCAGTTTCAGCATGACGCATCCGGCCCATGGGCCAGCAGTTTGACACACCTGCCCTAAGATAATCAATTAAACATTGAGGTAGGGAGTGGTGAGAAGGGGAATTCAAATATAAAACAGGAGATGTAGGAAACAAATGGAGTGTCAGCAAAAAAGGATTTAGATGCCTATATATACAAATGCTTAAAGTACGGGGAACAAACAAGGTGAACTTTAAGTCTTAGTACAGGAGGACAGGTACAATATTGTTGCCATTACTGAAATTTGGTGGGATGAAACCCATGATCGCAATGTAGAAGGGTATATGTTGTTCAAAAGAAACAGACCCAACAAAAGAGGAGGGAGTAAAAAATCACTACCTCTCTAAAGAAATGCACAAAACCAAGGATGCAAGTCTTCATAAATGTATTTGGGTTAATATAAAAGGAAAAAAGAATGATATTGCCATAGGTGTATATTACAGGCCATCCAACCAAACACAGGAACTAGATGAACCTTTTGCTAATCAGTGAGCTAAGATGTGTAGGAAACAAACTACAGTAGCAATGGGGGACTTTAACTACCCTGATATCAACTGAGAGACAAACTCTGCAACTAGTGGGAGATCAAACAGGTTCCTGATGTGTCTAGCTGACAACTTTGTCATCCAAAAGGTAGAAGATAGAACCAGAAGGTCAGCTATACTTAATTCTTACTAACATGGAGAAAAAAGATAGAGGGGGTTCAGTTGCAGGATCTTTGGGGGACAGTTAAAATCTAAAGAAGCTGAAGAAGCTTCTTGGATGAGAAGTGAAACATCTTCAAAGAAAAACAAGAAAGTTCAGTTGCCTCTTGAAAAAGCACCTTTGGGACAACCATGACCTAGATGACTGAGAATGTCCATAGACATTTAGCTATGCACTTTGGGATGAACACCCTTTGAATGGTGCGGGAGTATGAACGGATTTCCAAAATTGCAGACTACAGGAACTATTTGCTCTTCAGTATGAGATGCAGACAACACAGACTCATCACCAACAGCTTCAAGGGACACAGGACAGAAAACATCCTGCAGAAAGCACAGTTCCATACACATACAGTAGTCCTTTCAGCAATTCCAAGAAGACTCCACACCAATTTGTACTACTCTGGTGACCCTGAGGACATAAACCTCCAAGTGGCCTCAATGACTCTCTAAAAGAATGCAAATGACCAGCTGTCTGCAAGAAATATAAATCCTTCCATTCCGCACTATCCAGTCAGAGCTGAAGATGCTTCTTGGATGAGAAGTGAAACATCTTCAAAGAAAAACAAGAAAGTTCAGTTGCCTCTTGAAAAAGCACCTTTGGGACAACCATGACTTGGATGACTGAGAATCTCCATAGAAACCTAGAACTAAGGAAAAATTTCCTGACAATGAAAACAGTTAATCAGTGAAATGGCTTGCATCCAGAAGATGTGGATGTGGTTTTCAAGAAGAGATTGAACAACGATTTGTCTGGAATGGTATAAGGTCTCCTGCTCAAGCAGGGGATTGGTCTAGAAGACCTCCAAGATCTCTTCCAATCTTGTTATTCTATGTTGTATCTTGGAGCAACTGGAGTTGGCTGGATTAGTACCATTTTACATAATTAGTAAACTAACCCACTCATCCCAAAAGGAAAAAAAAAGAATAAAAATGACTATATANACCTGTGACAGGTAAAAACATGCTTGGACAATTATGTTGCGTGTTCTAGAGTCGGCAAACCAGACAATCTCTATATCTGCACAGACAATGGAACAACAAAAAATATTGTATACCCACAAGCATTGTGAAATTAAACATATTACAAACGTGCGCTTTCTCTTTTCTTTCTTTTCCATTTAACCAGACTGAGCCACAGCAATGCGTGGCCGGGTACAGCTAGTATATATATAAAAATAAAAATGTAAATGTTCATTTGTTCAAAATCTTAAATCTCCGAACATTCTTCACCGATTGCTTTGAAATTTTGACACAACGTTGCATTCAAATACGTGCGTGTTTTTATATACCTATATTATATAAATGTCACACCTGTGACAGGTAAAAACATGCTTTTTTTGAAAAACAGCACCATCTGTTGGACGTAAAAGCAACACACGCTTTTACCAGACTGAGCCACAGCAACGCGTGGCTGGATACAGCTAGTAATGAATAAAGATTGATATTTACTTAAAACTCTACATGTCTGGTGGTTGGTAAAACATCATCCTAATGGATTTAAGAGTGAATCTAAAGTATTTACATAACAAATATGAGTCAGGCAGAAGTTTCCAGACCTCACTTCAACCAAGCTACATCACAAAAGTTGTGGCTTGAGAGCTAGTCCAATAAACATGTAGGGACTATTTATTGTACATGTCCAAACCATATCGTTAATAGGGGATTACACAAGTTGTAGTCAGTACTCTCTGAACACAAGAGGTTTTCATTATAGTAACTAGTCATTGATAATTTTACATTCCAACCTAACATACACATATCTGTTCTGTACTGATTGATAATACAACATGTGTTAATTGTAAACCATGCAATGTTCACTTTCTTTACTAGTCTTGATTTACTGAGCAATTATTTTATCGCTTACCTCAAACATTATGCAACACAATATATTAGGTTACTGTCTAATAGCTGCTTGGGTTAAATAATTTTATGTATCCAATTTCTTACACCGTTATTTTTTAAAATATAAATATGCCATCCTATTAAAAGTAAGCTTCCAAAAGTACTATGCTTAGCAGCAGAATTTTTATCTTAATTTTGGCGCCTACTGCATTCAAACCATTATCTTTTGAGCTAACAATACTAGCAAAAGTCAAACATGCATGTTCTACAGTTATGTGTGACCTTAGAAAATTGAGAGAAGCACACATTCATAGTTGTTTGTCATTGTTTAAGCAATTGATCTGGCATATCTGCTTTAAATAGTGTTTATATAAAAATGAAATTATGGGTGGTCTTTATTTAGTATTCTTCAACAGTTTTTAAACAGATTTGTCCAAACATTACTTTTATTTAATTTGTAGTAAAAAAAATAAAAGAAGAACTGGAAAGAAAATACTATGATTACAATTGGAAAATCAGGTCATTTAGACTGCCCATAAAATTCAATGCAAGATCTATGCACAAAAAGTGACTCATCCAGAAACATTCTTAGCCATGCTTGCAACAGAATCCTTGGAATTAGTAATGCTTGTCTGTCTTGACTAAGTGATTCAACAAATCTAATCAAGAATGAGCAAATCTGGGCAGAGTCCAATACCTATTTAAACACAAGGAGGAATCAATACTTACAACAGGATTCTTTGTATTGGGGTCAAATTCTGTTGAGTTTGCATCTGTAGAAAAAAAATTAATTAAAAAACTGATGTAAAGTCTGTCAGTTCTGAGGATTAAAATGTTCTTCTCGTTGACATTTTAATATTATACATAATATATTCTTCAATTAAACGATATTAAATAAACCACTAAAACGAACACGTTCCAACTAACGACATTTATGGATGAAGTTCTAACTGACATTGTGGGCAGAGATTCATATAAATGATAGCTGACATAGCAGATGTGCATCTATAAATACAATACTTCCCAATTGCTTCCTTGCTCTGAGAATGTGCTTAAACGTCATTATGAACAATGAGGAACATTAAGCCTATGCATTAGTATTAATGGTTAGGTATGCCTGAATTCTGCACCCCTAAACCATTGTGACAGAAACAAAGGTAGAAAAAAGCAAATAATTAAAGTGAGAAAATATGCATTATGACATAGAGTCCATATCTTTCATTGTTGCATATGACATAGTGATGCAAATATGAAAGGCAGATTTTGCATTGTGACACACTTTTAATCATTTTGACATCATAACAGTTAGCTACAGATACCCATGGATAATCAAGAATACACAGACAAGATAGAAAGACCTGCACATGGATTAGAGAGCAAATAAAAGTATACGATATCATGAAGAGAGTAAAAGAATTGAAATGGAAATGAGCTGGTCACATGGCAAGAAGAACTGATGGCAGGTGGACCAAGGCAGTCATGGAATGGATACCACTTGATAAAAAGCATCCACAAAAGAGACCTAAAACAAAATGGATCAATGACATCAGCAAGTATTACGGGCCCAATTGGCAAAAGAAAGGTCAGGACAGTATTAGTTGGAAACATGAAGAGGCCTTCATCCTGCAATGGATAGACAATGGCTAAACTGATGATGATGAATCAAGAACTCAAATGGCTAAACTGATGATGATGATGAATCAAGAACTCAAAAGGGTGTTGGACCATGCTGTTGATTTGACTGCTCTTGGTGATCAACGTTTTTTTTTTCTTCAGTTATCAGAGTTTCATTAGAAATATGGTCCTATCACAAGGAATGTGGAATTTTCTTCAGGTTAAAGGCATCAACATCCTATTTTTGCCTGGAGGAATGGAAGATTCCTAAAAGTCTAAAAAGAAGATACAGTTGCAAGAAAAAGTATGTGAACCCCTTGGGATAACGCGGAGTTTTGCATGAATTGGTCATAAAATGTGCTCTGAACGTCATCTAAGTCACAACAATAGAAAAACACAGTCTGCTGAAAATAATAATACACAAACATTACATGTTGCCATGGTTTAATTGAACATAACATGTAAACATTCACAGAGCAGGGACGAAAAAGTATGTGAGCCCCTAGCCTAATGACGTCTCCAAGAGCTAATTGGAGCCAGGAGGGAGCCAACCTTGACTCCAATCAGTGTGATGATATTGGATGTGTTGCTTGACAACTGTCCTGCCCGTTAAAAACACACACCTGTTATGGGTTTACTGGTTTCAAGAAGCATTGTCTGATGTGAACCATGCCTCGCAGAAA